AGTCTGGTTCCTTTTGACATTCAAGCCGGCCTCTTCCTCCAGGTCCTTGGAGCCGAGTCAGTCAGGATGTTGAGGAAGAATTCTGTCTCCTGGGAAATTATTTCTTTTGTTGGACCACAGAGAAGGAGCTCCCCTTCATACTGAATTATACTGAGTTAGGGTAGTCTCTGGATGAGTTCAATGCGCCAAATCTTAAGCAAGAGCTAAGGCAAAGGCCAGGCCGTGGTGGCCCAGGCCTTTAATAGCAGCGCTTGGGAGTTACAGGCAGGCAGACCTCTGTGAGTTTGAGGCCAGCCTGGTCTACATGAGTTCTACTCCAGCCAGGGCTACACTGTCTCAACAAAACAAAACAAGTGGATCCATGGGGAAAGGCCTCCAAGTGACCTGTCCTGCTCTGCAAGTGGGATCTTCAAGGTGAGTAGGAGCAGACAAGATGAAGCAGGATGCAAAGGAAAGCATCTGTCTAGCCCTGAACACTGGCTCACATCAGAGGGGATCTGAGTGGTGAGAGCACTAGGATTAAGAACCAGGCGAGGGTGTCTGAGTGTACAAGAATCAGGCACCGGGCTGGTGGTGCATCTGTGAGAAAGCAGGCTGAGCAAGCCAATAAGCAGCACCCGTCCACGGCCTCTGCATCAGCTCCTACCTTCAGCTTCCTGCCCTGCTTGGATTCCTGGCCAAGCTTCCCCTGACTTCCTCCAATGATGAGCAGTGATATGGAAGTGTAAGCTGAATAAACCCTTTCCTCCCCAACTTGCTTTAATTTATGTTGTTTCAATACAGCTATAGTAACTCTAAGACATTTCTCTCCGTCCTGATTATTTGAAAAAATGATGAAATCCTTTGGGGTTTTATTTGTGTGGGTAGTCAGATTTTGAAGCTTTAATCTTTTTTGTTTACTCATTTTTTGTTTTTGTTTGTTTGTTTTTCAAGTCAGAGTCTCTCTGTGTGTCCCTGGCTGTCCTGTCACTCTGTAGACCAGGTTAACCTTGAACCTGGAGATCTGCCTGCCTCCTTCCGAGTTCTGGGATTAAAGGTGTGTACCATCACCTTTATAAATTATAAATTATTATAATTCATTTTTCTTTTGTGTTCATTGGTGTTTTGTCTGCATGTATATCTGTGTAAAGGTGTCAGAAGCCCTGAAACTGGAATTACAGACAGGTGTGAGGGGCCACGTAGGAGCTGGGATTTGAACTTGGGTCCTCTGGAAGAACAGCCAGTATTTTTAACCGATAAGCTATCTCTCCAGTGCCCAGATTTTGGAGTTTTAAGTTTTTGTTGTTGTTATTATTATTATAGTGTCTGGATGGGAGTGGGTTAGAGGCTGTCTCAGGGGAGCCTCTTCCTCCTGTGAATCTGATGCCATGTCAGTGTATCTTCTCATGACCTTCTATAAGCTTTAACTGGGGTGATAAAGCTGGCCTCTTGTCTTTCCAGGAGAATTCCTATTGTGAAGAGCCTCAGAGAGTCCTTCTTAGGAAGGCAAGTTCTCCAGATCAGCCCCCTTAGGTCCCAGGAAGAGTTTCCTGTTTTGTCTTTTTGTTTGCTTGTTTTCTCCTCCAGTCACACCAAGCTCAGGCCAGTGGCGGGAGTATGTTAGTCTCTAGTCACAAATCGGGGAGGTGGATGATGGATAGACTACCAAATGATTTAATTTGTTCAAAGAACTCTTGTATATTTTAAGTGATTTGCTAATGGCCCCTTTTGTTTTGGGTTTAGAGAAGTGAGACAGGCACAGAGAAGCAATCCCCCTGCTGGTTAGAGTCCCCCAAGAGCCACAGGATGAAAGGAAATTCAGTCTCATCGGGAGTAAAGTTCATGAAGTCGCCCTGGAGCCAGCTGTCAGTAATTAACTCAAGTGAGACCCTCTAGGGAGTGGGAGGGTGAGGGGAAGGGGGAGCCAGCATAGAATGTAGGACAGCACTCCCTGAAAAACAAAAACAAACAAACAACAACAAGAACAACAACAAAGGGGCTGGAGAAATGGCTCAGTGGTCCTTTGCTCTTCCAAAGGACCCGGGTACAATGCCCAGCACCCACGTGGCAGCTCACAACTGTCTGTAATGCCAATTCCAAGGGATCTGACACACTAATGCACATAAAATAAAATAATTAAAACAACAACAACAACAACAAAAATCCCAAGTTCAAATCCTAGCTCCTACATGGCCACTCATACTTGGTCTTTGAAACAAGCACTGGAGCTAAAATCCTCCAAAAGGGACCCTCCTTCTCAGAGAAGAGAAAGAACAAACTCGCCAGCCTTGATACCACAGTGCTAAACTAGGTTAGGGGGTGACCCCATCCCAGGATGGAGGAGAAGCCTGGTAAATTCAACAGCCGCGTTCTCCCCTCCGTTCAGGGTTTGGCTTGATTGCACTGGTCTTAATGAGTCAGTGATCCTCAGAAATCCCAAATGAGCACCCCAAAATGTCACCACCCACAGGTCTTGAGTCAGGGTAGTTTGCTCTGCTGATTAAAGAATTAAAAGCCCGGCTTGGTGGCTCAGGCCTTTAGTGTGTATGCACTAGAGAGACAGAGGCAGGTGGATCTGGGAGTTGGAAGCCAGCCAGGGCTACAGATTGAGACTCTCTCTAAAAATTAAAACCAAAAATAAATCAAGCTCTATGATTTATGCTGCTGTATGAAGGTGTTAAGACATTTTGTTGTTGTTGTTAAGCAGAGAATCGATTAACCATAAAGTCAGGAAGAAGATACTGTTTATCAGAGAGAGTAAATGATGGGATGAAGGAGTTTTAAGATACCTTCTAGCTCTTAAAATCTAGAGGTCCCCTTACGCATGACAACTACAGTTGTTTTATTTTGTAATGCTAGGAATGAGCACACACCCTGCGAGGGACTCTACCTCTGAAGTAGAGCCTAAGTTCTTTTTTGGTTTTGTTTTGTTTTGCTTTTTGAGACAGGGTTTCTCTGCATAGCCTTGGCTGCCCTGGACTCTCTTTGTAGACCAGGCTGGCCTCACAGAGATCTGCCTGACTCCCTGAGTGCTGAGATTATAGTGCCCCGTGCCCAGCTTTAAGTTCTTTTAAATTATTTTTTACCCTGAGATAGGGCCTTGATAACTCTCCCAGGCTGCTATCCCTCAATTTCCTTCTTTATTTCTTTAATAATTTTTAAGATCTTAAATTTTATTTTTATTCTTTACATATGGGTGTTTTGCCTGTATGTATATTTGTATACCATGTGTGTGAAGTACATATGTAGACCAGAAGAAGGTGTTGGTTTCCCTAGGATTGGCGGTAGAGCCAATTGTGAGCAGCCTTGTAGGTGTTGGGAATTGAACCAGAGTCTGGTGGAAGAGGAGCCAGAGCTCTTGACCAATGAGGCTAACCAGCCTCTCAGTTTCTTGAATCGCTGGATCACAGGCCTTTGCTACCAGGCACAATTAAAGTCCATTTTTTATGTCCTCCACACAGCTCACCATACAATATTGTAAATCTACTAATATGATGACCATTTATATAGGTCTCATTTCAGTATTTTATTAAGAAAAGCAAGCTGGGTCTAGAAATTCAGATTTGTAAATTCTATCCATTTGGGAGGCTGAACCATCTCTCCAGCCTCATAAATAATTTTTTTGTGTTTTGATTTGGAGGGTTTGTTTGTTTGGGACAGGGTTTCTCTGTATAGCCCTGGCTGTCCTGAAATTTACTCGGTAGACCAGGCTGACATCGAACCCAGAGATCTGCCTGCCTCTGCCTTCCAAATACTGGGATTACAGGTGCACACCACCTGCCTGGCTCCATCTCCCGGTTCTCTATAGCCGACCCCAGACCTCCACTGCTGATCCTAACTCAAGGCTCAGCTTTCTCTCTTCCTCTTCTCCATCTTCCTCTTCCCAGCAGCTGTTGTAGGCCTCTAGACATGGGTGCTGGGACTGGAACTCAGATCCTCTGCAAGAGCAAGAAGTGATCCACTGTCTCCAAGCCATCTCCCTGGGGTCCTAGCATTTTATGACATAGGTTTACACATGAAGGCACAGAGGCATATACACAAGGAGAATCTTTTCCCCCTACAAGAATAAATTGGAAAAATAAAAGTGCCTGTCTCAGACAGGGCACTTGTTTGCCAGCAGCAGACATAACTGGTTGAAGAGTTAAAAACTGTTTATTATAAAGATAACTATTGGAGGGACAGGAGAGCAGGCTCGGTGATGACCCTCATAGATAAAGCTGTGAACCGCAAAGCCTGGTGAGTAAAACATCCAGAACGTTGTCCTGGGACCAAGAACTGCTCAGATGCTGGGAACTTGGCAGTAGCTCTTAGGGGTGCCAGCACTCACCTGTAGTGGGGGTGGGGTGGGCTGGGACAGAGACTGAGCCCTTCATTAGGAAGGAATGGTCGCCATGAAGCCAGATAAGCTGAGTTCAGTTCCTGGAACCTACTTGAAGTTGTCCTCTGTCCTCCACAAGTGCTGGGTGGCATGTGTCACACACACACACACACACACACACACACACACACACAAATAAATAAAGTTTTAAAGTTGGATACTCTGCCTCACTTTCATACACCCTTCTCCCCTCACTCTCCTCCGGAAAAGAAAAAAATAGAATTACAGAGCTAGTAAATAAATGTGTTTTTTTTTTTTTTAAATTAAAAGAATTCTATGCATCACTTTCACTATCCATCTAGCCTTACTCACCCCCTGGGGAAAAAAATGGAATTATAGGGCTAGGACTATAATTCACTTATCTAGTATGTACCAGGCCCTGGGTCACCTCTCCAGCACTTAAACAACACCGAAGATGTTTCAAAGGAGCTGTGCATACGTGCATGCTTTTCCAATGCTTCCAAAACTCCGGAGGCATACACAAGAAACTGACAACCCGAGCAGGAAGGTGGGAGGGAGGGACTGGGAGGAGTTCCAAGAAGGGAAACCGGGGTTGGGGTTGGGGTGTAATATATGATAAAAGAATTTTAAAAAATATTTAAAAAAAAAAAAGAGAAACTGATAACCTGTGGTTTCTTCAAAGAAGGGAAGGAGGAGACAAAAAAAAAGGATCACCGACATGGATTCTACGAGTGACCATGTAACCGTGGCAGACACATTAAAGGCTCAACAAGCCTCGGAACCGTCTTATTCAACACCGCATCGCGTCACTTGTGTTTGGAATGCTCAGGGGAAACACCATCAGGCAGTGAGTAAAAGTCCACGCTGTGACCAAAACTGACGGCACAGATGTCACAAACGCTAGCGCTATCTCAGGGTCACCGTCTCCGGCTTCCAGGCTCAAGGTCCCCTCTCACACCCCCCCACAAGTTGTTAAATAGCATCCGCTTGTCCCATAACGTTGGCCTGCCTGGCTCCCACTTCCTGGTACACACAGTTCAGCCCTCTGAAGCTGCCAGTGACCTTGAGGACACAGAGAACTGTTAGCAGAAATAGCTAACCATCTGAGGAAGCAAAACCTCTCTCCCTCACACACACACCCTCACAGTCTGCGGAGGGTTCGTCATTCCTAAAGTCTGAGGAGTTGAGAAAGGCCCACACACAGCCAGGGGCCAGTAGCTCTCCCAAGGGAACAGGGCTGTGCCTGTGACTACAGGAAGGTTCTTTGGCTGAGCTCAGAGCCTGCTGACCACGGCCATTTAACACCTGCGGGCCGAGCTTCCATTTCCCGTCAGCTGGATCACTTAGGATGTTGCCAGCGTGGTGAACAGAACAGAAAGTGGTTCCCACAGTGCGGAAGTTCATTATGAAACAGAGCACTGTGTTTGGGGGAAGAGAGTTGCAGAACTGAATCCGGTCCTACGACATACAGATGATTTGGCTTGCTCTCTCTGGCCTATCTGGACTTTCCCTTCCTAGCAACAAGATGACCCCGCTAAACCGAAGACCACAAGAGGTCACTGAAGACAGGAAGCTCCAGTGCTTCCCACGGCGAACTTGTCCTCTTTCATTCTGACTTTAATCCAAATAAAAACTCTTTCCCAGAAGCCTCCAGTGGGTTTCTCCTCAGCTCCAGCCAGCTAGATTTGTGTTGCACGCCCACACTCAGATCCGTTCCTGACAAGGGCTGAGTACTCTCCCTTTGACTGGCCCATAGCTCCTCCTTAGTGCCCAACGAGGAGGCAGGCTCCCTCTTCTCCCTTCCCCTTCTTTCCCTTTCCTCCCCTCCCTTCTTCCTTCCTCTTCTCTTCTCCCTTCCCCTTCCCTCCCTCTGTCTGACAGGGTTTTGTTATATATCCAAAGCTGGTGTTGAACTCTTGATCCTCCTGCCTTTGCCTCCTGAGTGCCAGGATTATAGTAGAGAAGCATCGTGCCTAGCTTGTCCATTTCTTGTTTTATCTGAAATTGAGTTCTTACTGGATACTCTGTAATTGTTTTTCCTCCTTGCTGTGTTGGGGATCGAACTCCAGGCCTTGTTCATGCTAGGCAAGCCCTCCACGACTGAACTACACCCCACCCTCGTATCCTATGTTTTAATTGCTAAATGTGGCATCCTCCCTGGGAGACTTGCCTTGGCTTTTTGAGCCCATTGTCAGCCCACACTCGACAATCAGAGTTCTGCTAGCAAGAAGGCTGTAGACCCCAATAGCGTTCAATATGATGTCTCATCGCTTTGCAAGACTTTCTAAACTGTCAGTCAAGACAGCTCTGGTTGGGGTGGCTGGATGGCACAGAGGGTCAAAGCACTGTCTGCCAGAACTGACAGCCTGAATTCCATCCCCAGGACCCACAGATGGAAGGAGAGTACGGATTCCTGCAAGTTGCCCTCTGACCTCCGCATATGTTCCATGGCATATACACACACGCACTCAACTACAGGCATGCACACACACAGAGTGACTAACAGTTTTTATGAGCATAGAGGTGACACACACACACAGAGAGAGACAGAGAGAGAGAGAGAGAGAGAGAAATGACAGACTGAAACAGGAGTTACAGGCAGGAGCTCACTCTATAGCCCAGGCTAGCCTGGAATTCCCCATGGAGATAAGGTTGGCCTCAAACTCTCCGCAGTCCCCTCCTAACTTGGTCTCTCAAGTGCTGGGATCCCACGCATGAGCTGTGACATTTAGCGGAGATCACAGTTTTCCATCACAGGAATAAACCCAAATTCTCAGGGCAAGCTGGTGACAGCGTACGGTGACGGAGCTGTTAAAAAATAAGCTGTGTGCAGGGCACCATCACATTGCAGCTTTCGCTTGTGTGATCTGCAGCTTTGACGAACCGTCACTCAGCGTCCTTTGGCTTTGCCACAGCTGCAGAGAGCGGGGGCCACAGCGGCTCTGGAGACCCTGTGGACCTCTCTTTGTAGAAGACTTATCTGAGTGTTCCGCCCGCTTCTGAGACCACTGGGCATAGAAGCTCGAGATGCCGAAGAACTGATGAGGAGATGGGAATGTTTTCTGTGGGATCTGATGCTGTCTCAACACTACGTTAATGCAAGGAGATAATTAGCGAGCGGGGTCTGATCACAGACAGCGAGTTCCGAAGAGTGGGGAGCCACTTGTGGCGAGACGCACACCCTCAGCTCCTTCGCCAAGCCCCCTACATTTCCACTATTAGTGAGCAGCCACACGGCCGCAGGCCTGGGAGGGGCAACGCTTGTTTGTTTGTCGGACCCCGTGAACTCTGGCCCACAGCCCAAGCAGTCCTGGGACTTCTGGGACCACGTGACAGCTCCACTTAAACCGTGCCACCCTAGGAAGAGAAAAAACAAATGGTAAACACCTTTATTTTCCGAGACAGCCCCGAGAACCTGGGTCCACGGATAATTCTTTTTTTTTCTTTATGAGAAAATAGCGTCTGCCTCCTAAACTGGATTTATGATATAGACCAAGGAAGAGCCTGAGTGAGAAAAGTGAGGCGGTACGCCCCTGCTGAGCCAGGGTTCAGAAGCCAGAGGCAGGAAGACAGGGAGCTCAGGGCCGTCGACGGCTGCGTGAGACAGCCAACCAGAGTTGTGTTTGGGCAGCACAAGCTGGACTCAGTGGGTTCGTTTGAAACAAAACAAAGTTGAGAGGGGGTGAGGTAAGGGACGGCTCTGGGAGGAGTGAGGGGGAGGTGGTACATCTGATCAAAATACGTGTAAGGAATTATCAAAGAACTAATAACAACATTATGGGTTTTTTAAAACAACCAGAAATGACCTGTGTTCTGGTAGCATAGTATACACATGTCGTGGGGGTATCCACCAGAAAAACAAAACAAACCCGCCTCTGCCTCCTGGAATGAGCCCTGCACGTGGCATGAATTGGCTTTTTTTGAGATGGGGTCTCATGTCAAGGCTGGCCTCAGAGCCTAGAGTTGAGGCTGGTCTTGAACTCTTGGTCCTCTTGTTTCTATCTGCAGAGCGCTAGGACTAGAGGCATGTGTCACTATCCCTGGGCCATCCTCTGATGTACACGTGTGTGGTTTATGTATTTCCTTTTCTGGGTATGTACATCATGCCCTGACCATGTTCGTGTGTGTGTGTGTGTGTGTGTGTGTGTGTGTGTGTGTGTGTGTCTGTATGGGCTTGTGAATTCGTGTACATGCTGGTTCTTGTGTCTGTATGTACGTGTGCAAGTAGAGGTCAGAGGTCACCTTGGGGTGCTTTCCTCCTCCTTGTGTGTTTGAATGTAGGGGAAAAAATCAGATAACTGCAAAAGGTGATGAGCCTTACTTGAGATTTTTAGGTTGAGAACTCCAAGAAAGTCAATGAACACAGTTGTGTATTCGGGTAAGGTGTGGAGAGAAAGGGTGTGAAAGGTAAGGAGTCTGTGGGACAACAGTGCCAGAGATGTAAGAGGTAAAGATACTTTCTTCTTTTTTCCCTCCGTTCCTCCCTCCCTCCCTGTTTCCCTCCCCCTCTCGTCCTTCCTTCCTTCCTTCCTTTTTCCTGTCTTTATTTCTGACAGGGTTTCTCTGTGTAACAGCTCTGGCTGTCCTAGAACTCATTCTGTAGACCAGACTAGCCTTGAACTCACAGAGACCCGCCTGCTTCAGCTTCCCATGTGCTGGGATGGAAGGCGTGTGCTACCATGCCTGGTGGAAAAAGGTATTTTCAAAGGAACAACCACAATATTGAACACATCTGAGATGGATGCACCGCAGGAAATACTGGACAGCCAAGTGCTGGCCTGCGGAGATGGGAGGAGAGGTAGGGATCAACAGGGCAAGCCACAGTACTTGAAGTAGATTTTGAAAACAGTGCGGATATTGGACATTGAAAGTAAAGGGTGTGAGCTGGACACAGAGGCACCTGTAATACCAGCACTCAGGGAGGCAGAGGCAGGTCTCTGAGTTTGAAACCTGGTCTACAAAATGAGTCTAGGACAGCCAAGGCTACATAGACAAACCGTGTCTTGAAAAAAAACAAACAAACAAAAGATGAGACCAGGAGAAGTACCTAAAAGGAGGACACAGGAAATTTCATTCCAGGAGTCAGGAGCTGAGAACTCATGGTGTTGGGTAAATCAACATTTGGATGTTGGAACTATAGAATGGTGGCAAAAATAAGGAGAAAGGGAGACAGGAGAAAAGGGCTCAGTGGGTAAAGGTGATTGTTGCCAAGCCTGACAGTCTGAGTCCAATCCCCAGGATCCACATGGTGAAAGGAAACGGACTCCTGCAGGTTATCCTCTGCCTAGTACATGTTCGCTGTGGTATACACACACACACACACACACACACACACACACACGTACACATACACACACTCGAGAGCACATGTCCACACATTCTCACCCCTGCATGCACACACAGACACCAAATAAAATGTGTATCTAACAAAAGGATATAGGGGCAGGGGGCAGCTGAAGAGAAAGCCTTCCATAAGACATGGGAGTGGCTGCCAGACTGCCAACATCACGGTCTCATGCCCACTCCCAGGCAAGGCCTATGCCAGTCAGCACCGCCCTGCTCTCATCCCCACCTAGCTGAAGGTTCTTGGTCTTGTTTTGAGACAGGGTCTCTCTAGTGCAATCCTGGCCGTCCTGAAACTCACTATGTAGACCAGGTTTGTCTCGAACTCAGAAATCTGTACATCTTCAGCCTCTCAAGTGCTGGGATTAAAGGCTTGTGCCACCATGCCTGATCTTGAGTCATCCAAAACAGGCTTTTGGGGGTCTCTTAGAGGCCAAGGAAAATACACCAAAAATAAGATGCAGCATTCATCCAGTGTGGCTGGTCATAAGATTATACTTCCAAGAAGAGACTTACTTCATATATATACAGAAGAGGGCACCAGATCTCCTTATAGATGCTTGGGAGACACCATGTGGTGGCTGCTGGGAATTGAACTCAGGACCTTTAAGGAGAAGCAGCCAGTGCTCTTAACCTCTGAGCCATCTCTCCACCCCAGAAGACTTAGCTCTACCACAACCCTTGTGTTCACACCCAGGACCATAAAAAAAACAGTCCCATACAGTCTTCTGCAGATCAGTTTTCAGTGTGAATGGGGTTCCTTGGGGCCTTTAAGAAGCTAGGTAGGTAGCACATTTTACATGTTTTTAATTAAAAATTGGTTTTTTTTGTTTGTTTTTCGAGACAGGGTTTCTGGTTTCGCTGTAACTCTCTCTGTAGACCAGGCTGGCCTCAAACTCACAGAGATCTGCCTGCCTCTGCCTCCCAAGTGCTAGGATTAAAGGCGTGTGCCACCACTGCCCAGCTAATTAAAAAGACATATACTATTTTTATTTAATTCGGATGGGTGTTTGCCTGCCTATATGTCTGTGCAGCATGGGCGTGTCTGGTGCCCGTGGAGGCCCAAAGAGGGCATCACATCCCCTGGAACTAGAGTTACAGACAGTTGTGGGCTGCCATGGGGTGCTGCAAATCCAACCTGGCTCCTCTGGAAAAGCAGTCAGTGCTCTCACCCACTGAGCCATCTTTCCAGCGCCCTGCATTTTTTTTTTTTTTTAATCAAGACTGGTTCATGGAATACAACTGGGGCAATAAAGAGCATGCTATCCG